GCTGAGACTCCACACTCTCACTGTTGAGGGCACAGGTTTGATCCCCGGTCAGGGAACTAAGATCCCACAAGCAGCGCGATATGGCCAAAACAAAACTAAACTCAACTCAAAACCCAGCTCCTTAGTTTCATCCTCCGTTCTCATCCTCTCCTACACTTTTCCTCATCTTCTACTGGACACCACTTCTCCTGATGCCGTCCCCTGCAAATGTACTCCTTTGGCTACACAGAAGTTTCTTGCATGCTCTGAAATTCTCCACTGTATTCAAGAGGTCTTTGGTCTGACACATACTATCTCTCATATATTACAATACACTCAACGCCCTCATCTAGAATCAAGTAGTTTTTCCTCTTTAAAGTTAACTGTCTCCTCTCACACTTCCATTCTCAATACAGCAACTTCTACTAAAGTGATGGCTACTGATGGCTCAACAGAATATCTGCTCGGTGGCACAGTAAGGTATGCTCCTGGCTGTACTGTTTTTCTCGCCATCAGCTGAGGGCTGGGACACTTTCCCGGGTTTGTGTCTTAGTCCGTTCAGGCTGCTATCACAAAATATGACTGAGTAGGGAGCTTACAAGCAACAAATTCACTTCTCACAGTCCTGGAGGCAGGGTGCCAGCACAGGCAGGTGAGGGCCCTCTTCCAGCTCAGAGATCTCCTGTGTCCTCAGGTGGCGGAGGGGCTAGCGAGCTCTCTGTCTCTCTCCATAAGGCACTACCGCCACCCATGCCTTTACACGCCACCCATGCCTTTACGCGCCACCCATGCCTTTACACGCCAGCCATGCCTTTACACGCCACCCAAGCCTTTACACGCCAGCCATGCCTTTATACGCCACCCAAGCCTTCACACGCCACCCATGCCTTCACACGCCACCCATGCCTTCACACGCCACCCATGCCTTTACAAGCCTTCCAACAGCCCCGCTCCCAACACTGTCACCTTTACGGGGTCAGGAATGGGTTTGGAGGGACACACTCAGGCCACAGCAGGACAGCATAGGGATAAAATCCACAGAGGTGCTTACTTCTGTTGGGCCACACCTTGACACCCTGACCAAGATGGCTTTCCTTAAAGATCTTTGGTGGCTAATGCCCACACCCAAAAGAATGACCAGCACATTAAACCCCAACAGGGTGAGAACAGTAATTATATTCCCAGCCACAAAAATCCAGCTCAATTTTAATAAAATGCCTGGCCAAGTAATAATTTAAACTAGTAGCAGTCATTTTACCCTGAACTGTAAGCAAGAAGACGCCACTCAGCTGCACTTGATGTTTAGCTTTAATGCACAGACCCCGCTCCCCTTCCCTGGCCTCCGAGTGGGGATGAAGCCTGCTTCCCACCCAGGAGAGCGAAGAGCAGGAAAGCCTTGCCGCTCAGCCCTCTGTTCCCGCTCAGCCCTCGGTTCCCGCCGCTCGCCAACGTGGTGTAAGCAAAATAAAAGCCGTTTTCAATGTCACCTTTCTCTATGGGTTCTGGCACAAAGGTATTTCAGAAAAAATTTTAAATGGATACACTTAAGAGCCCATTATTTCCAAAACATGTATTCACCCCCTTTACTGGGGGAGGCATGCCAAAACACATTTTTAATGCAACCATCACTCCCCTCATCCCAAGGGACATGGTGAAATCGACTTCAGGACAGGCCCTCATTCGTCATCGTACTATTCCCGAGACTTCTGTGAAAACCCTAAATCCCTTTTGAGTTCCACAGTTACCATAAACAAACAAGCATCAGGAGAGAACTTAAGCCCCAATTCCCAGTCATTTTAGGGGATTTCTTGCCTAATCATCCAAAGGAAGGAAAAAAGGACTCTAGTCGCCACAGTAACACAAGTCCACGTGTTGTCGGCCTGTCTCTACCAAGGATGCCAGATGCACTTCAGTTCCACAGGCCACCTTCAAACAAGCTCCTCAAAAAAGAGCCCACGCACACAACCCCTACAGCACACATGCGTAACAACGTGGTGATGGAACAGCAAGGTCCCGTGCAAGCACTTTATACTCCCATCTGGGCGCAGGCAGTGGTCCACTTGCCGGAGGAGTAGGGCGCTTATGGAAAGGCCAGCGTGAAAGCCACCCTCCAGCATGAGGGACCCAGGACAGAGAGCTGTGAGCTGGAACCAACCACCCGCCGACATCAGTCCCCCAGGCATCGCTCATCAAGTCTGCGGAAGAAGCCCCACAGGTGGGATGAGGAGAGGGCCCCAGGCGCACCGCCGGCTCTGGGCTGGGACTCGGCAGGCGTTGCCCCAGTCCCTGCAGCTCAGACCAGGGGCAAAGCCTGACAGGCGCAAGAGTCGCAGAGCAGCCAACTCCATGAGCAACGCTGACCACAGGCTGCCGGCAGGGGAACCTTCAAATCGTTTGCCTGACTCCATCTTCTCACCACTCAGGCCCCGCCCCACCCTGGGTCCTCTTCAACTTCTTTGCCACCGTGCACAGTACCGGTTCCTCACCCACAGACAACGGACAGAGACAGCAGAGACCAGCCACCCTACACGGCCTCCTCGCTACAGAGGAGAGGACAGCAGCAGCACAAGTACAGGAACACTCCTTGCGTGCCTTTGCTGGCTGCTGGCCCTCACCACGCCTGATGCCCGAGACGAGGAGTGAGGCTCCCACAGCCCACTTTGCTCGAGGATCAGGGGCCGTGGTCCAGAGCCCTCCTGGGCCCTCCCCCTTCCCCTCCAGGGCACCCGCAGGCCAATACTGCTACTTGCCTGACAGATCAGGCTGCTAGCTCCTGGCTGCCCTCCCCACCTGACAATGGTGAAAGCTACGGCTGTGGGCAGGTCATCTACCAGCCAAGTCCTCCGGAGGCCCAGGCCATCTCCCATGGGCTCTGAAAACATTCTGAAATGTGGAAGGAGTCTGCTTTGATTAACATAAACACAACTCCCCAAGCCACACCATCCCAGGCCAAAATAATCCAGAGCTTTCCCTTGCTTCAACTATGTTCAAATAACATTTTCTGGAAATTTCCTAGGAAACAGCCCACTCTCTCAGTCACACTGCTGACCAGTTCACAATGTGCACAGTGTTATCCTGTTTATAAACTCTGCTTTAGCAATAATGGAAACAGTTCCTAATGCACCGCGTGGTGCAGACATCCTCTCACGCCTCCTTGTATCAAGGATGCACTCACTGGAAGTCACCCCCGCTGACAGCCTCGGAGACGATGTGACACGCCGTGCCCAGCCCCCCAGCACGCTCCAGCCCCGGCTGTGCCACTGAACACGCTGCCCTGAGCACGACTTGAGACTGCGTTGAGAGTCTGGGTGTGGCGGGGAACCCCTGTACCTGCTTAAGTGACCCAGACTCGATCAGAATCTCAGAACGAAAATTAATACGCGTCTGAAGTACATTTTTCCTCGACAATTGTTTTTCCTCTGATGAGCTTTAAAAAGGAAATAACAAGATATTGCATCCAGTTACATATTTCAGAGGTTACCCACTGGGTGTTCCCAAAAAACCTAAGAGTTGCGGTCAACGCTCTCAGAGTACGTGAGCAAGAAACCACTGTCTTGGCATGGTTCGCTCTCGGGCCTCATGCATTCACGGCGAGATGGACTTTAAGGGGTAAGACAGGACTGGTTGGCTGAACATCACCAAAGTATATCATAAAAGGTTATTACTCTACAAGAATTCCTTATCTCACAGGAAAGTAAAAAGTCAAACTGGTTTTCCACATTTGGCTAAAGCAGGGGAGCAAGAGTATCTAGTACTTGCAGAAATTTCTAGAAACTCCATGTCCCGCTCACATCAACTTTAAACAGTTCTTTTTTAACGGGAATTGCAGCACCGCGCCCCCCCCCCCCAAATCAAAGCTGGAAAAACATGAGTTCAGAGGACTATCTCTGCTCACATCAAAGACTATAGCATTGGGGAAGGGCCCTGTAAAAATAACTTCCCCGGGGCTTTTGGGTATTTTTAAAAAAGTGATCACTCACTAGGGACTACACAGGGCAAAGAGAGTTGTTCTAGGTCATGCCAAGGAAGATCAACGAGAACTGCAATATTAAAATAAATCACCTACAGTACAGCGTGAGGTAATGCACTGGGAGAAGAGCATCTGATTGACAAGAACGTGAGGCACACAGGACTTCACAGGCCCACACCCCTACAGAAACAGCTCAGACACATGGAACAGGACGCAGACGGACAGTCATTAAGCCCAGTCTCTAGGCCACCTCTGCTCCACTGCAAAAACACTCTGGTCCCAGGAACAATGTAGAAAATGGAAAGGTAAGCCGAGCTGCTCTCTAAAAATCATTTAAACTCTTTTACAAATACTTGAATACATGAATTGGTGCTTAGCATAAAGGAGAGGAGTGGAGGAGGTCAAAGGATTTTTGGAAGACTGTTCTCTTACAAAATTCTTATTCCACAGATATCAGAGGCTTCTTTGTTTCTTGAGAGCCTTCTTCAGCAGACTCCCCCAGCGGTAAGTCCAGATCTTTCTCCACTGCCCAAACGCGAACGCACAATTTCTCCTTTGGGAGAGGATTACGCTGAAAATTAGTGTTGCATAAATACCGTTACCTTTTCTGGTGAAAAACTCCTTGGAATATTTCCCCAACATAGCGTATTTTCGAGGGACTTTCCCCAGCAGTTCAATGATCAATGCTATGTGATCTGCATTGGGAAACATTGCCAGCAAAACAGAAACACACGACAATTTAATCAGTACACTGCATGCAGACACTGCCATCGCCCGCGCAGACAGAAACAGAGCGCAGCGTCAACAACCAGAGCACAGGCTCTGCCCGAGTGGCCAGATTCAAGGCACCGCAGAGGAGCTGATGCACAGGGTGACCGCAGGACAGGGCCAGGCAGGGGCTCCTTCTCAAGTCTGAAGTCAGCACAGGAATTCTGCTGGGTTGCTTTTGGAATTTAGGAGAAAGGCCTTTGTCACCATTAATGCTACAACCAGCAGCTGCTATTCCATTTCTGTCTGCATCGTGGCGCTTTTCAAAAAGAAGAGGTACTACCTCTGCGATTGAAGAATTCCCGAGAATATTTTCCAGACAGAGCAAAGTGCCTTGGGATACTGCCTAGCAGCTCTATGATGTGGGCTATGTGGTCTATGGAGGAGAGAAAAAAAAGGATACGGGAATGGGAGGGACAAAGGGAAGGATGGGATAAAAGAAGAGGGGGAAAAAATTGAAATTAGTAAAAGATCAGAGATAGAATCAAATCAACAATGTGTGCAGCACATCTACACAGAGGCTTCTGGGACTGGCAGGCCTCAGGCCCCATCTGGAGCATTAACAGTGACTGACACCAGCTCACCCCAGGCTACCCCAGAATCGCAAGCAAATAAGCATGGAGATGGTCAGGTCTGCAGATGGGAATTCAAGCCAGAGTTCCCTGGTTTTAAATTCAGCCCCCCAACAGGACAGAGAAGTGGGCAGCAGATCAGTGGACAAAAGGTCCACGGAGAGGCTCCGGGTTCGTCCGGCCTGTCCTCTCCCGGCCAGCTGGGCTCAGGCCTGCGGGGGCGGGCTGAGGCCCGAGGGCTCTCCAAAGCGTCGCTGGTGCCAGAAGGCTCTGCCCAGTCACTGCAGCTGAGGGGGCTTCAAGCTCAAAGGGAGAGCATCTGAATTTGGTGCTTGAAAACCGAAACACAGCTCTGTTTCGGTGCAAAAAGACAATATTCTCCAGAAGTTCAGGAGTCTCAGGAAACCCGGACTGAGGTACTCAGCAGGCAGCAACACTCACCTTCGTCTCTGGAATAGTCTTCCCCAGAATGCGGTTCAAACAAATAATCTCCCGTTGCCAGCTCAAATGCCTAGGATACAACAGATGATATGCTAAGCGCTTCACGGAGACGGGCCCCAAGCCAGCAACTTTTTCTGGTACAAGAGACCTATATTTTATGAGGATCTGAATCAAACCAAAGAGCCTCCTGAAAGGGCTCAACACCAGGCTTTCTCTTCTTCCCAAAAGTTCAAAGAAGCTTCAGAAATATTCTTGCACCTCTGCTTCACTTTGCAGGAAGCAGCCGTGTGCAGGCGTGGCCGGAGCACTGCACTCTAACCTGAACGGCAGAACGGGGGCTCAGGCTGAGGTCCAGGTCTGCGTGACCCCAGAGCCCAGCTGCAACCCGCAGGCTAACCTGGCCCCGGACCACGGTTGCGGCCGCTGTCCTGAAGCAAAGACCTTCATGTCTTAGCAACTTAGCTCCTTTCAGCAACTCATCATCACTTCATTCACTTCTGACTCAACCAAAGGACATTCTAGAACCGAAGAAGCCCCTCTTGCTCTGTCCCCCGGGGCCAGGAGGAACCAGACCACCCCCCCCCCACCCCCACCCCTGCCCCGTGCAGCCCGCCCGAGGGCGGCCAGGAGAGCGGCCTCCTGGTTACAGGGCTGTCCCCACCAGGGTGCTGGGGTCGGGAGGGAACGGGAGGGGCACTGCTTTCCCATCGCTACCTCTGAGCCCACTTCCGTTGTTCATAAAATTATCTCAGGACTATAAGCTTTAACTTGCTAACAATACATAAAAATGACAACTGCTATCGCTCTGTTGATCAAATACCATGCTTTTTTAAAAACATGTTTTAAATGTTTTAAAAACAAGAAGTTTTAAAAAGAACAAGCTAAATCCCGTGTTCGGTTTTTCCCATACTTACTTCTCCTGTGTGTTAGATCTCGCTGTTCTGGAGGCCCTCAGGGGCCGTCCCGCTTCACCGATGCCTGTGGGCCAGGGCACCGCCCACTCCTCTCAAGGTACCGCCCTCCCCACAGGCGCCTCGATGAGCCGAGGAGCCCGCCCCACACCAGCCCACCCTCTCCGCTTCTGTCCAGGATCACAGGGTGTGGGTGGGCACCCGCAGGGGAAGTCTCGTCTGCCTGCCTGGGGCGGGGCCCCTCTCACAAACCCAGGTGGGCGCACTTAGCCTAGGACCCCATCTCTTCACCTTGTATTTTCCTTTTTTAAGAAAGGCGGGAGGTGGGATGCCAAGCCCATTGCCAGCTACCCTGTGACGAGCACTAGTTCACAACTCGGGATCCCTGCCCTGAGCCAGACCTGGGTGTGATGTGCCCAGTCTCAGCACAGAGTACGTCAGGCAGTCGTCTGGGCGCTGCAGGGCCTCCCCGCTCCACCCAACAAACAATAAAGATACTAGGTTCAATCCCAGATCAGGGTCAAACACCTCACATTTGGCCACAGGTCCATGGGGAACAAGTGGATGACACACTGAATGGCCAGAAGCGTCTTTCTCATCCGGGACACAAGCCAAGAGAAAAGGGTGAAACCCTAATGGAGAAAGAAGACCCCAGAAATCGCATGATCTAGCCAAAGGAGAGCGCCAGCTGCTCTTCACCGTCCTTGGGGCCTCCCTCACTCTTCTAATCAATGCTCAAAAACATTTCAATCTGGTTGTGCGTATTTCTGACAGCCTAGCACTAAGACATGCCCACTGAGTGTTCTTTGAAAGATGACCATTTTGATGAGCACCCATGTATTTCCGAGGAAACACAGGTTGAAGAGGCCTATCAATGAAACGGTTTAAAAGAAAAAAGGAAGAGGCAAGATGAAGGCTCCCCCGTCATGTTATCGGGTCCTGATTCTCTGAAGCATGATGAGATTCTTCTTAACAACTAGGACACAGACAGCAGGCAGGGTAAACACACATCACAAGGAAAACATCAGTCTCTGTACTTTACAACTTGCTTTTATGCTGGCAACTATGAAACCATGAAAAATTATTGCCTTCAACTCAATAAGTTACTCTCAATATAACCTCTATTATTATTGTTTATTTTTAATACTTGGGAACTCTGTACTCGGCCCAATCCCCTCAGAGGGCTTTCTTTCCCTTGGACCAGCCTCTGTCCTCAGGCTCTGGGGAGACCAGATACCCTCTTCCTGAAATGCCATCATCCCACGTCAAGTATCCCATTCTGAATAAATAAGGTCACGTATGCCTTCTGTGATGTGACCACTGCCGAGAAGTTTGGTGAAGTGGGTCAGACTGGCTTGTCTTGTCTCTACAGCGCTGACTGAGGCTCACCACGGAGCCAACGGGAAGATGCCTGTTCAGGAACTCCGAAACACAAGTGCAGAGCGACCAATGCCGGGGTCCACACGTAATTTGTAGATCATGCACACTTACATCTGGAGGGCTCCGAAGCTCAGGAAAAGAGAAAGAGATTCAACGCCTGACAAAGCCCAGCTGCTCTGCCTCGCGGCGCTGCCCCTGCCCAGGGGGGAAGCTCTCCTCCCCGCCAGCAGCACGGGCGCCCGCCAGTGAGCACGGCTACCAGCCACCACTCCCAGCTCCACCAGCGTCTCTGTAAGACTTGACGCCCTTTATCACAAAGAACCCTGGGCTTTACCGCCAAGAACAATCTGGAGCTTTACTACAGCTTGGTATTATGAATTTAATGTACTGTTACATACTTAAACTTCAACAGCAGGGTGGGCTGGGCAAAGACGCCTCATCTGCACCAGGTTCTCTACGAAGAACACGAGGCGACCTCTCAGCCGCGGCCTCCGGGGAGGGGGGAGGGTGGGGATGCAAGCTTGCCCCGCTCCCAGAAAATCACCCTTAAACTGACTAACAAGAACTTCCTAAGCAGCCCTAGAATTACTGAGGGACCTTACGCTCCACTTCTTGGGAGGCGAAGGAGATGGAGTGAGTGCTTTTCCGCAGGGATCTGCTCTTGACGCTGACGCCACCGTTCACAGCAACTGCAGGGCTCAGCAGGACAGGAGACTGTGTGGAGGGACAGACCCTCACCTCACAGAAGGCCAGACAGAGAGCCCGGTATAAAACTGTACTGACAGCTCCGCCATTATCCAACTACATCTGTGATCTTGTCCTATTTTTCTGGTTATATCACCCAAATTCAACACCCGGAATTAGAAGCACAGGATTTCAGAGCTGAAAGAGCCTGCAGAGTGTAAATGAGGGCAGCCCCGACACGGCCCCTTCTGTGCTGCTGGGGAGGAGGAGGGCCTGACCTCACCACACCCTGAGGTCCAACAGCCCCGCAGCTCCCACTGCTGACGGCGCCCCCTTCTGATGACCTGGCCGCTGCTTCCCACTGCTTCCAGCCTCCAGCCCCCCTCCCCACCCACAGGGAGCCTCACCCCTGTCCACACAGCAGGCCCTGCGTTCTAAGGAGCCATGACACGTCCACCAATTCTCTCTCTCTCTCTCTCTCTCTCTCTCTTTTTAAAATTTAAAAAGAGTTATCAGGGCTTCCCTGGTGGCGCAGTGGTTGAGAGTCTGCCTGCCGATGCAGGGGACACGGGTTCATGCCCCGGTCTGGGAAGATCCCACGTGCCGCGGAGCAGCTGGGCCCGTAAACCATGGCCACTGAGCCTGCGCGTCCGGAGCCCGTGCTCCGCAACGGGAGAGGCCACACAGTGAGAGGCCCGTGTACCGCAAAAAAAAAAAAGGAGTTATTAAAAAGAAAAAAGACTAGAGTGGCTACCACCCCCCACACCCCCTGGCCTCTGGCCCATGATCTCTGACCCCTGCCCTCCTCCCACTCTGATAACCTCCCTCATTCAGAAGTCAGCCTGCCCACCAGGGCCAGCCCAGCCATCTGGTCCACCAATTCTTTTAACCCTCCTTGTCCATACCTAGCAAGGCAAGGGCTCAGTTTCTGAAACTTACTGAGAAACTTAATTTTAAACTTATTCTCTGGCATTACCCGTCAGAGCAACAATGGGAACAGAAGGGCACACTGTTCTAGACCTGCTGGGCCATACTGGCTGCAAACTTGAAAAACACAGAAGATCCACTTTTTTCCATGTTGTTTTAGCACGACTTGCTAACAGTGTTATACTTTAGCATCAGAGGACACACCCAAAAGAAGTGCTACATTAATCCTTGAATAACAGACAATACACTTATTCTGCATTGTTGTTTTTTTAGTGAGAAGACAAGTACCAAGCTTTACACACATGCCATGCCCTTTCATTTAAATATCACAGGAGAAATTGGAGAAAAAATGAGGAAAGCATGAAACACCACGTGAAGCAAGAGACACATGCATCCCCTTTTCCAACAAAGGACTACAAAGCTCAGCCCACTAAGAGGAAGGTGACAAACCGACCAGGAAACAGGACCAAGAGAGAAACTGAAACTGGCTTATGGACGAGGGACCATTCATGCTTATCGGTTCACAGGTAAGGAGTAGGTGAGAAGAGGCACTGGTGGGGCTGAGGAGAGTTTAGACACAACCAGGCTTTTGATGCACACAAGTGGCAGTGAAAATGGCTACATCATACTGGAGAAACAAGAGGCATCCCGAGGCCCTGAGGAAAACCATCGCTGAGCTGCCTAAGGGAACAGACCCGGTCAAACGGTACAGGCGGCTGCTGGTGCCTCAGACGTGGCTGGACACAGCCTAGAGCAGTAAGCCAGAACAGTCTCTAGACTCTGCTTAACAGAAGGAGAGAGGTTGAACCCTGGTATGTGGGGAAATCCTCTCTCTCCAGCAAGGAGACAAGGTCTGTCAGAGCCGCTCAGACTACCTTCCCCTAAATCGCAGCTGTCTCATCTTCCTCCACGGCCTGAGTGAGGGGACTGCGCGCAACCTGCAAGCTTCCAGGAGCCACAGGAGCTCCCTGAAGTCACTGTCACCACAGCGGGGCTCTCATTCTCGGGGCCGCGGGCTACAGAGGGCCTCGCGAGGTTGTCTCTCACAAGACCAAACCAAAACACACACTAGGACACGCCAGAGAAGGTCTCTTAAGATACCCAAGGCAGCCACCTTCCCCTCACCCACCCATCAGTGGACAACCCTCATGGTCAGAAAGCTTCGACCAAAGGCCCTGGTGGAGCTGCCCCATCATGGGAACTAAAAGGATGAGCCTTTACACAGAGGAAAATGGCAAAGGCCGTTCTTACCATACACGCCGTACTCCAAATGTCAGCAGGGGTACTGTAACCTGCTCCTATTAAAACCTCTATGGATCTATACTGACGCGTCTGGATGTCTTCTGTGAAGTGTTTATGCTGGAAGGGAACAGACTGCATTACCGTGGAGGAACACAGACAGTAAACGAGAGAAAAAGCATCTTCTAATACATGATCACGACCGGAATGTTTTAGAAAGAAAACTGTACTTACCACCCAACAAGCGTTTCCCAGGTCGGCAATTTTAACTCTAATTTTATCTGCATTCCGTGGGTCCAGGGGATTCACCAACAGGTCGGCTGCCCGGGTTTTTGCTGGCATGAGCAAACAGCAGGACAGTTAGTGCCTGGGATAAGTGGTTTGCGCTTGTGCACACAATGCTTGCTGGGCACAGTGTCCTTTTCTAGAAAAGCGGTGGGTGATCATTTAGGCCTGGAATCCTGTAAGTTGAACTCAACAGAATTTAAATTCTTGGTCTCCATCTCGGGAAAATACTTCACAAGAGAGCAAACTGCCCAGAGACCCCATGGACACTGCCTTGCCCCTCCTCCTTTCTCCCCATCCTTCACTGAGCAGGTCAGCCCTGCTTGGTTCCTGTATCTTTCAGCTGCTCCTCATTGGGCCATGCCAGTTCCCTAACGGACCCTGTCTAGCTCAGAAGTGCGTTATTACTTAACGTGAGGGTAGAGAGAACGCTCCCCAGGGGATGCCCATCCCTTCCTAAGTGGCCCACAGCCCTCACCTCTCCCTCTGCCTGGGCCGAGCACAGAGACCTCAAGAGTTAGATGATGGCCGATTAACAAATACAGATTAAGGGCAGGGACCAATCAATTCTGGTTTAGCTGTGGACAAGTAACACTGCAGAACAGAGGTCTCTTGAGACGGCCCGGGCCCTCTGAGGTCCCTCACAGACTTGTCAAATACTCAAGCCACTCTCAACCCCCGGGAACCCTGAGGAATTCTCAACAGTAGGCACGGGGCCGGGATTCTCAGGGCTGCAGGGCCAGAGAAGCTTTTCAGATAAGCACAGACCAGGCCTGCAGAAAGCACAGTTAACCAGGGGGCAGTGACAAAGAAGAATAATGTGGTGAGGCCCAGACAGAAAATGCTGAAGTGACTCAGCATCTCCATCAAACCTCAAACTGACCAGCAAGCTGGGATTTCTGGTAAAGATGAGATGTAACCATGGCTTTTCATTCATTTCAGAAGTAATTCTGAAATGGTACTCACAGACAAAACAGAAAAGCCCGCTCAATGCAGAATATTAAAGACCCTTTAGCTCACTCGAAGGTGGGGACTGCTGGAATGACTGTCCCTCCTTTGGGTAGACCCGTGCTGTGCTGTAGGGCTCGGCACCCCAGGTGGGCGGCAAGGCCAGGCTGCACGCGCCGTGAGCAGGGCAGGGAGTAGGTGACGCACCCAGGACCTGGGGCGCCCACAGAGCTCCCCAGGAGGGGCCAGAAAATGCAAGCGAACTCTGGCAACGTTTTAACCCTCAAGACCTGTTCCTCAGACTTACGGACCAACCCAAGCCAGCCAGGCCCACACATTCCCTCCTGGCTATCTGCCCCACAACACGTCCCTCTTTAAGAGGGCACTGACCAAAGTGAGGCCTCACCAAAGGCTAGGTACGAGCCGAGGAGAAGAAACAGAGGAAATGAGAAATGATAAGGACGGCAGCACAAAGACACACACAAAGAGGCAAGGTGTTCACACCGAACAGGGAATGGCTGCGAAACCGAGTTCCAGAAGAAACATAAAAATGCCGACCCAACAGACGGATGGCCAGCACTGGAAATGGCTTAGATGAATCCCTCATGTCATTTAATAAAGGAGACTCAAGGAGACTCGGCAGGCAAGAAAATGGAATGTGAGGTTTGCAGAGCTGGATTCAAATCTGTTTCTACGTCTGTAAGTTACAAGACTCCGGCAAATGACTTAAACTCTGAGGCTCAGTTCCCAGTAAAGGAGGAAGAGGAAGGGACCACCCTTCCTCCGCCAAAAAATACAAATGAAAGAAAGACCAAACACAGGAGAGCTACGACAGCGCCTGGCTGGCCAGATCCAGAGGCTCCCTCCTGCCTGCCACCAGCCAGACCACCCTCTGAGGCCAGGGCTTCTAAATGGCCAGTGAGGGACCAGCCAAAGCCCCCACGGCACAGAGAGGATGGGAGGCCAAGCCGTGGCTTCCAGCACTGCAAGCCACTGAGATCAAAGGCCTGGCAGGAGGGGAGGATGAAGCGGCAGGTTCTGACTGAGCGAGAGCTGCCGTCAAGGTGCTCGAGCGGAAAGAGGGGATCTGAAACCGCCACCCTCCTCCAGTCGCTGTTCTAAAGACATCACACATGAGTCACTTCAGCTAGAGGAAAAACACCTTAAAAACACAACATCACACACCTCCAGTACAGATCCTCCTCGACTTACGAAGGGGTTATGTCCCAAAAAACCCATCTCAAGTTGAAAATGTCGTAAGTGCAAAATGCATTTAATTACACATCGCCTGCCGCACGTCATAGCTGAGCCTAGTGACTTCAACATCACTCAGGACACTTACGTTAGGCCACAGTTGGGCAAAAAAAACAACTAACACAAAGCCTACTTCATAATAAACTGTGGTGAGTATCTCATGTAATTTACTGCATGCTGTACTGAAAGTGAAAGACAGAAGGGCTGTCTGGGCACAGAGTGGTTCTACCTGTGCCAGCTGTCCACTTGCGTGATCGCGTGGCTGCCTGGGGGCTGCCCAGCATCACAAGGTGGGATCGTGCAGTGTATCGCTAGCCCGGGAGAAGATCACGATTCAAAATGTGAAGCACGGCTTCGACAGAATGCGTTTCGTTTTCGCACCATCGTAAAATCGAACCACTGTTAATTCAGGGGCCACCTGTATAATTTCTTTGTATTTAATATCCCTCATTCATGAGCACCAGACCAAGTCTCTTCGGTGGCATGCTGTTATTCTCCTAGTTTGTGTCTATGCGTGGTTACCAGGCGCACAATGCATTCCAGATGATACTAGGGAATTTACCTCAAAATTTTAACTGTATTAAGAACGCAAAGGATGTAAAAGAGAATCGGCTTGCACTTCTTTTCCCAGTGTGCTAGTTTCCTGCTCTAGGTAATCTGTAAAAGGTTACCTGAGTACAACACTCAAAAAGGCCCGTTTAAACACAGGGACAGCCACACTTGCTGTGCAGTCGTACGAGTTTTGCTTTGCCCAGAAATCAGATCACCTCCCGTGATTCAGGCACTATTATGCAACTACCACAGCTCTTCCCTGCTCTCTGCTTCTACCAAGGAGGGAATGAAAAGTGGGACGAGAGAGGCGGGAAGACTTCACTTCAGGAAGGGCTGGAGTCCTTAAGTCATTCTGATAACCTGGTCTCTGGGTGACACTGTACTCACTCCATCTGAGGTCATCCTAGGAACCAGTAAAATGGCAGCCAGTGGGGCCTCAGTGATGAAACAGCCCCACACTGACACTTTTATGTTTAAAACATCCTTACAAGGAAGGCATGAATACCCTCTTTATATGCAGGAGATTTAGTACCAGACTAAAGAAAGAGCAGAACTAGGAGATTTAATGCCCAAACCTGACCTATTTGTTCACAAATAGGTACTGTATTTACTGAGTCCCCTCTATGTGCCAGACGTTGCCCTGGCACTGGGAAGAGAATCAAAAAGACATACAATGTTCCGCCACCACATCCCAAATTAGGAAACTCACGCACTCGCTGGGTATATGGGTGATAAATAAAATGAATGATTCACACATCATGTCAAGTAGCTGTACATGCTAAGAAGAAAAACACAGCGGAGAAAGGAGATGGCTACTGATGAGGGTGTTTGGCCACGGGCGGGTGTGGAGAGGGCATCTCTTCTGAGAAAGTGACCTTTGAGGAGAGGCCTGAACAAAGGGAGGCACAGAGGAGAGAAGCTCTGGGCAGAGAGGACAGCAAGTGGAAAGCGCCAAGAGGCAGAAACAAGCTTGCACCCTTGAGAAAGCTCAGAAAGAAGACAGTGTGGGAGAGGCAGAATGAGCAGGGGACATAGAGGCGGGTGGGGAACGATACCAGAAAAAGCGCGGCCGGGACGGACAGTACAGGGCTGTAAGCTTTAGAGAATGACGCCTCTGCGGGTTATGCTACACGGTGGGGGGCAGAATGTGCTTTAAAAAGCTCTCTCAGGGGGCTTCCCTGGTGGCGCAGTGTTTGAGAGTCCACCTGCCGATGCAGGGGACACGGGTTCGTGCCCCGGTCCGGGAAGATCCCACATGCCGCC